CAGTGGCACGGGTGTTGCATCTCGTTGTGCAGTCTCCTGTGCCTCACTGACAAAATGCCTACTGGTGCCAGTTCCCAAGAGTGAGAGGTGATGAAAGGGTCAGTATGGGACTTTTGCCAACCCTTAGATCCTATCTAGGGATCACAGCAGCTCACTTACATCAAGGCTTAGCGAGCTTGTGAGTTCCTGTAAGCAAAACCTAGGCTTCAGGGTTGCAGTAACGTAGACATCTATAGGTTGAAATGGGATTTGAACACAAGATTTGCAACAAGTATTAGTGTCATTGTTGGACAAGGCACTCAAAGCAGTGGTACAACTTTTGAAGTACTCAGTGCCCAACACTTAAACAACAAAGTAATTGCACACATAAATGGCCAGAATTAGCCAGTTTTCATTACTTGCTGTGTTATGTACCAATGCAACAAAACATCACAGTTATTGTATTTTACAAATTGGTCCCTTCATAGTTGTTCCAGAGAGATGTAGGCTAATGAAGCAACATTTTGTCATGGACTCAAGAGGCAGAAATGTCTTTGCAGATATTTAAACAAGACCCTTGCTTGAAGATTTAATGTTGATAGAATAAAATGAAGATTGGAATAGGCTCTCTAGTCAAGCAATTATTCCTATTACAGCTATCCTTAAGAAATAAAATGTATGTTCTTAAAGCTGTAACTTCTGGAAATTTTGAGGAAATTTATGTGCCTTAAAAGTCAATGTCCTTAGCACAATACATAACAGGAGACTCTCTCAATTAAATGCTTAAAATGTTCCAGTAACAAACTCCCCCACATTAAACTAGATGGCAACTAACTGAGGCATTTCTGATGTGTTCTGCTGCTTTGGTGTTACAAAAGCAGAGATTGTCTCTAGAAGGTACAAGATTCAGCCTACAAAGGCTACTTTGTATACTGTTTCTCTGAAACAATTTTTATAGCAATTACTTGGAAATTACATTCTACTGCATTTGCCATTAGCCTCAGTGGAACCAAGCTTTCATCCATTTCATATCAGCTTTGGGGGTGTTTTTTTTGGTTTTTTCCGCTTTCCTATTTCTGGCATGATCCAGTTCAAAGAGTAGCTGCAATCTGTCATCTGTTGGTGGATACTGAATGTATACTGGGGGAGGCAGGGGAATTAAAAAAACCCCAACCTGCCAAGTCTTTCAGCCTTCAACCTCTGGTGCAGTACAAGGTTTACAAGATGATTTAAAATCTGCATGTGTAGGAAATAAGGAAGATGGGCTGACTCTATACAGAAAATGGGTTTGGAATAGACACAGATTGATGGCTTTGTGACAATGACACTAAAGTTAATAGCTGATACAGGCAGACAACAGAGTCTATTTTAAATTTCAAATTGAACTCTGTGTCGCTCACAGCATCATACTGACCATTCATTGCTAGACCTAATTTTTTTCTGCTAATGACTACAAGAAGCAGAATAGATAATGATGTGCACTGCTGAACACTTGGGAAATGGCATTAACTGATTCTCCCCCCTCTTCCTGTTTTAAAAACAACTATTTAATGATTACTAGGGGTGGCTATCCTTGAACACTCCTGAAGGGTAAAAATTAGTCACTCCTCTGGGGACATCTCTGTCGCCTTTCCTTTCCTCTTTGGGGACAGAAGGGGTGTAAATTGTGCTTGCCACAGACTGGGAAGGCTGACATTGCTAAAATATAAGACCTTGACAAAAACCCTGGAGATGATGTATCACTAATCTCCTGGGCAGTTGCACTCCACATTCACATTTGCACACTGCAGATAATTCCTGCCTCTCAAAATCCTGAACCCAGACTTCAAATGCAAATTGTCTTGGAGGTGGAAATGGAAACCTGCATGCACTGAGACAGTTATTCACATATTTAAATAAAAAGCTCACCAACAAAAACCAAATCCTTTAGTCATGGGGGAAGCATTTCTTTGCTGTCTGTTTCTGTCATTAATCCCTCCTGTTTATCTAACCTGCACTTCAGGGACAGAGATACCCATTGGTTTTGTACATCTCCACTCATACAGATAGAGATCTTTTCCTAGTATATGGTTATCACCAGAGATTTGACTTTATTACATGTCAGTGAAAGGCCTTTAAAAAAGCATACCAACCATAATACAAGGCGCTTCTGAAATTTTATACGCATGGCACATGGAAGCAACTGAATTTGGGAATAAATATTTGTGCCTTAGACCTGAACACAGCCAGCCCACATGTGTGAGGTGAGTGTTGCTGGCCTTATGCTACAAGTCTGGGCTCTGTCACTGAAACCACTTTTCTTGGTAGGTGCTGTGGCAAAAGTGTAATAGTACATATCATTATTTGCTTGAAAACTGTATTTCAGAATATTAGCAGACTGAAATTTCCACCTGTTTTCCTTCTTCCAGTCTGTGACACACATTTGCACATGAGGATTTACTGTTTCTCTGCCTAATTTTTTGTTCAACAGGAAAACTAGCTGAATTGTTTGCATCAAGTTCAAAAGCTCTAATATAAAAGCCACATACTTTTTACTTGAATTAATTCCAACTCCACTCTGGCTTTGTAAAACTAATTTAAATTATAGCTGTCTCTGCAACTTCTTGCTATAATAAATTAAAATAAATAAATCTAATTGTGTGTGGCTTTACTAACATGAATCTCATTATTACTTCCCAAATGGTATGGTGGAGGCTCATAGTTTCAATAAAATCTAAGCTACCAAATGATTTTGGTGAGAAATTGGGACTGTGGCAGTCATAAATACATATGTAAAAACCCATTTTCTTTTCTGTGAGGAAGAGCAATGCCTACGTTCTATTTCCATCCTTTACTTATGTCTTCTGTGAGTGCTGGAGGGTATTTTAGATGTATTTGCTCAGACTATTCAAGATCTTTAAACAAAGTTCTTGTCCCTAGAAAGTAACTGAAAACTTCCACATCAAACAAAAATATATGTAATGAGTGTAAATGCTATAAAAGTACCATGTGGTTTACATAACAATCTTATAATGATACTTCATATCTGAGGCAATATGTGATCAGATATTTTACATGCTCAGATCAGCCCTCTGTGTTCGCTTGGTGCAGACTGTGACACCAGCTCACGCTGCAAGGCACGCAAGCACTACAGCTGCTTTTGTTACAAGATGGGGAAGGGTGGATAAATAGCAACCCATGTCCCGTTAGTAAAAGGCTTTCTAAGTTCTACTGAGTCAACAGACAGAATCAGGTATCAGCTACTTCACTAGGAAATGCATCAGAACTAGGAGTGGGAGGCTTGGGATGTGAGGTGGGGAAGCAAGGAGTGAGACACAAGGTTCATTTCTTTGCTCCAATGTCACTCTTCTAATAGAAATTCCATGAGGGCATGTTAACCTGAAGAGGAATTTCAGCAGCAAATCATAACAAAGAAGACACGAAATCCTCTTTAATACTTGCAGGTGGCATCCAGTCCAGGTGCTCTCTAATGAGCTCATTATCTGACAGTCATCTGATAAACATGCTTTACAACTGTACACTCTAAAGGTGAAAAAGCCAGTCAGGGCAGCTCAGTCCACCTCTTGCTCTGCCCAACCAAGACAAGATTCTTTTTTTCCTTTTCCCAACATTTTGTTTAGCCTTTTTGTGCTGTTTAATTTTTAAATTTCCAGGTAACCCAAGAGATATCTTCTAAACTGCAAAGGAAATTTTGCAGTTTAAATTTCTTATCTTGATGCTAAGAGGTTTCCCTCTTCACTACTGTTCGGTGAAATAAGTTCTTGTTTACCTTCTTTCACTGTTCTATAGTACAGCCACTCCAAAACACTCTGATTACCTCCCCTTTGCATCTACCCAAGAATTTCTATATTTCAGCCTTGTCTTTGCTTTCACAAGTTATTCTAATGACTATTCATATGGGACCACATCAGTATTCTTCTCCTTTACTGTGTTAGTATCATGCTGACCCCAAAACTAATTCAGTATTTCATGCAGAATTACAGTATCAGAATCATTGGTTTCAGAGCAAGAGCTCTCTCACTCCCTACTATGCAATATTTGGACATGCACCCTAAAACTGCAGTGGCTTTTTTCCTCTCACTGTATTCAAACTTATCTCTTTAATGCAGGTTTAAAGTGTGCTTTCCCAAATACCCTTTCATTGCCTCTATTTTATGGTAAGGTGTATCTACCCAAGTTTTGATTGTTGCTGTTGTATTTCTTTATATTTTCCCATTAATTTTTGAAAGTCTTCCCACTCCAACAATGTATTTCAGGAACAGATTGACTTAATGAACTTCCTCCCCCTTCTCCAGGACTGTAAATACCATTAAACTCACTACATGGCTGTAAAAACAACTGCATTACTATCCATTGCTACTCAGACAACTTTAAAATAATGAATCTTTCATTCTATTTAGGAAAATAGAAATCTATTTTTCAAGCAAGATTTCATGATAAACACACAGAGTTGTAGGAGAAAATTTTAGCACAAACGTGTATGTAATTCATTCCACTCATCCACTCAATTTCAATTCTGGAACATTGCTCTGTAGCTTTGTAGTAGGTGCAGTCAGCTGAAGGTGAGAGCCCAAGGGGCCAAGAAGGGCCTGAGCACATCAGGTCTCTTAACAGGATTTAGGCAGAAAAATCACAGTTTCTACAACTTCAGCAGTGATTATCAGATACCATCAGCTGCTGGGAACAAGTGCAGAAGCAGAACTTCAAGCACGTTGAACATGGAGGCATTCAATGAGCTGTGATGCTCCCAGGGTTAAGGAGACACATGGAAACTTGCCTCTACTTGTTTACCTCAAACACATTGATGGTCTTTACTGTGCCTATTCTGGTCAGAAGTGCTGGAAAACACAGATTCTGCTTCTGATTAAATTCAATCAATACAAACACTGTTGCAAATGATTCTTCACAGTGCTATTTGTTGTACAGTGTAGTGTTGTAACAGATGCCAGAATGTGTCCCTTATGCAATATGAGCAAAAAAAAAATCCTTAAAATTTACACAGAAGTTAGACTTAGCAGAAGTTTTACTATATTGTATTTATTGAGCTCTTACATTCCACTTATCCATTACATTTTGTTAAATAAAAACAGGCATTGGTACATATTTCTTTCACTTTAATTAATATCCTCCAATATGTATCAGCCAGCATGTTCTCTCTGCCTATGAAATAACCTTCCAAGTCAGGAAAACCCCCTTCTCTTTTAAAGCTGATGCTCTACCACATCAGACTCCATTCCTATTACATAAGGGAATGAGAAAACTACTCATTTCCTTACCCAAATATTATTTCTCCACTGATGTATTTGTAAATTCCTTTATAATCCCCCATTTCATCTGCTAGCATGAAGCAATTAAACTAATCCATGCTCTGTCAACCCCAGCCGACTCACAGTGTCTTTGGGTGCCACTGTACATTTTTTAAAGTTTTATTTTTGAATTCAGGTCTTCAAACCCTTATCTGGAGCGTACTGTTTTCCACAGCAATAGTCAACTACCCTTCAGCTGTAGTGTTTTTGGTTTCTGCAGCCATCCTGCACACCAATGAAATCTTGGTTCCTACAGAATCCTTGTCCTCCTCCAAGTCCCTTCTTTAGAGATTAATTTGAGTAGCATTTGTGCAAAAGTTCCAGCTTCTCCATCAGTAAGAAATACTACAATCAGAGCAGGGTTTTTCTCTGGAAAACAACAATAGTCATGGATTTGGCCTTGCTACCTCTATGGAAGACAAGAGGTAAGGTAAGCTCTTTGTATCTTTCCTGAGCAAGGCATAAATCTGCTCTAAACTTTTGTCTTTTTATGTAAGAAAAACCTTGGACTTTGCATACTGCCTAGCAGGCATCTTCTGTGCTGTGACACTGAACCACACATTCAATATCCTTTATTTTGTCTACAAAGGTCTTGGATTAATGGTAGTATTTTAGAGTCTGTGTTAACTTGAGACTATTTCCCACAAATACACTTTAAAGTATTATGCATCGTAGCCCTACTCTTCCAAGTCGTATCTGGGCAAAACAAGATCCCAGGAAATCCAAACCCCTCAAATATTTTTGTATTCCCAAAATATAATGATCATATTTTCTGTTATTTGCTTTTGGAAGTATCAGCATGTTTATCCAGCTTCTCCCTTATCGAAAATATAAAAATAGCCACAAAATCATAGAATTATTTAAGACCAAAAAGACCTTTATGACCATTGAGTCCAACCATTAGCAAGCAGCTAAACTTATTACCAGTCACATGAAAATGATGTTCCACATGAAGAGGGGGCACTTCCAGAGCCAGTCAGAGCTCTGTGTGTTCAGGAGGGACAAGACCAGCACTGTTGCAGGCAGCAATTCTGGGAGCCACCAATCTCATAAGGAAAGTAGGAGAGTGCCAGAAGCATGAAGATAATTTCAATGATATATAATGTTATAACAGTCAATGATACATAAACCAAACACTGAAACATCTGTGTTTGTATTGCTTTACTGGTATTTGTAAATACCTCATCTGGCGCCATTCCATTAAGCAGCAGTTAAAGTTCAGTTAGCATTAATAAAATATTAAATTTCAGCACATGTAGATGCCCAGTAATTCATTCAAGTGTTTCACAGCTGAAGAATCACTTTTCTTAAAACTGCCATCTTCTTGGCCAGATCCTATACTTATTCATGGACCCGATAGCATTTGAAATATATTCACTACCCTTACTTTCATCTGTGTAAGTCAAAGTATATGGTTTTGGTCCAACACCTTGCACAGTCCTGTTTTGACAGTATTTACTGTGATAATTTACAATTCTGTCTATTTCTGCACTTTGCAATTTAGCTACTGCCCATCTATTCTGGTAGTGGTTTGAAGTGTTTCTCTTCTTTCCCAGATGAAAAATTGTAGCACAGACCTTGGCTACTGCTAGCAGCTGCACAGAGAAAGCCGAATATTTCATCACCCAGACATCTACTTGCAATAGCTGCACTCCTACTCACATTTTAGGTTACTTCTGTACTGTTTGTGTGTAATAAAAAAGTCACCAAACTTTAAACACATTTAGCAAGAAGACCTAAATGCCATATGAGCTGTACAGTGAAGTCTAATCTCCATTTTCCATAATTGTTCTAAAAATAGAACAAAAATATGAAGAACTGAGAATTTTACACTTATAATTAAAGATGATGGTGCCATTTCAGAATTCACTTCAAATACTTCTTCCAAGCTGCCTGCATGCTTATGCATGCACTAAACAGAAAGCTGCCACTACAGCTTGCAAATAGATAAATGCATTTGCATTTTAAACCAACAACAAAGTAAAATCTCTACTTGCAGTCATCTCTTTTTCAAAAGCTTTGCATATGAAATAGTTATGACTCTCACAGCTGCAGAAAAAACTATTATTTCTGACCAGCAAATCTGCCATAGTGCTGAATCTAAACAGGGAACAAACAATTCTGCTGCAGCCTTTGCCACAGAGGAAGAGATCTACTCTTGCAATTGTGACATAGGAAAAAAGAGAGAGATTTTATTTGTAAGGTGTTCTGACATCTACTCATATCTAGGTACTGTCATACATACAGACTACTTTCAACACCAGGTAAACTAATCAAAATCAGCATTTTCTACCACTTTATTTTCAACTCTGAGACTAGATGTTCATCCATCTGTTAATATTTACAGCCTTTAAAAAGAGAAACAAAAGACTTGTACTTATTTTCAGGGAAAAGTCACATAATGTTAACCAGGTGTGATCAGATCTGTTACCAGTGATTTTTGCCTCAAGGAGTAGACAAATGGGTTGAAATTATTAAAAATACCCCAGAATTAAAGAGGCTCATAGAACAACAAAACATCTATGCGGGTGATGAGACACTAGAACAGGTTGCCCAGAGAAGCTGCAGATGTCCCATCCATGGCAGTGTTCAAGGTGAGGCTGGAGGAGCCTCTGAGCAACCCTGTCGGTGGCAGAGGTGTTGGAACAAGATAGTCTTCAGGGTCCCTTCCAACACAAACCATGCTATGACTCTGAAAATCAGTGTAACATTTTAAAATCCATTAATCTCAAATCAGTAAGTGTTCAGTATCAAACCATCAGACTGCAAAAAAGGTAGCTTTTAAAAGGGTAACACTTAACTGGAGGTTTCAGGAGGTTCTGAACAAGTCTTTCACATAGAACTACTATGGAGTCTGAGTGGGCATGGAATAAGTTAAAAGTGATACACAAGAAGCAAATACTAAGGATGGCTAGTTTTCAAGCTGACAAACACTAAGATTAAAGTGCCCTATGGATTTATACTGAAAATGTTGTTTTATGTATCTTTTCATCTGGAGAAAGAGACACATAGTACACTGGCAGCATCTGTGGATAACAAAAATTTTCAAGATTATTTTCCGGGCAAATGAAAATTGTGAGGCACAACAAAGTTAGAACAAAGAAAGATGAAGTTTATGATTAGCTCAAAATAATGAACGGCTCACACACTCCAAAGTTTACTATGACTGATAGTTATAGGGAAAAGATTAATGAGGTATTTATTCACTGAATTCTGGTAAACAAAACCAAAGTATTCCAACCATACATAAATACACCACCAGCCACAGTTGTTCAGAGCCAGCATGGCTTCATGAGGGGCAAGTCCTGCTTGATGAACCTGATTTCCTTCTAGAACAGGGTAACCCACCTAAGTGATCTAGGAAAGCCAGCAGATGTGATATTTTCGGACTTCAGCAATGCTTTTGGATAATGTCTCTCACAGAAGCCTTCTGGACAAAATGTCCAGCACACAGCTGGATAACTGAGTTACATGACAGGTAAGCAACTGACTAATGGGTTGGGCAACAGCCTTACAGTGAATGGGGCACATCAGACTGGTGGGGTTCTGCAGGGCTCCATCCTTGGCCCTTTGCTCTTCAATGCAGGACTGGAATGAATACGAAGTTTGTGGATGGTGCTGAACTGGGAGGAGCTGTCAACTCCCTTGGGGTCAGAAAGGCCCTGCAGAGAGACCTCCACAAATTAAAGGGTTGGGCAATCTCCAACTGTGTGAAGTTTAACAAGGGCAAGTGCCAGATTCTGCACCTGGGATGGAGCAGCCCCAGCTGTGTGTATAGACTGGGGAATGAGAGGCTGGAAAGCAGCACTGTGGAAAAGGACCTGGGAGTCCTGGACAATGGCAAATTGAACATGAGCCAGCAGTGCCCTGGCAGCCAGCAGGGCCAACCCTGTCCTGGGAGGCATCAGGCACAGCATCACTGGGCAAGGGAGGGGATTATCCTGCTCTGCACTGCAGATAACATAAAAAATACTGCAGACAGAATTGCAGTATCTGATTGCTGATTTCAGCCCTCTAGCTTTCTGGAGTAACTTTCCTGTCTTGCAAGTTTTCCTCTCTGTAGAGGCATTTGCACTGCAGAAAAAACTGCATATAAACACATGTTTTTATAATTTTTAATTGTATTATAAAGAAAATCCAGAAACACTTAATTTATAAAACCCCCTATCTGCATAGCAATCCAAACTACTACTGCAAATTACTGAAGCTGTACAGCAGAATTGCACAGGTAAAACTTACACAATGAATCTTCTACAAAAACAAATCCAACACCATTTACATTACTAGAAAATGACCCAACACTTTAATCTTTGAGACTTTTCAAACATTATTGCAATATAATGATGGAAAAACATGTTACTTCTTAGAAGGAAGTTAAGTATATCCAAGCAGATTTGTATCTTCTTTAGTTACAAAGATTGATTCTCCTTGTTCAGTTCCTCATTGCCAACATGGCATTTATGTCCCAAATAAGATTTCGTAACTGATCCATGATCTGCTTCAGCTGCTGATTCTTCTGTTTCAGTTTCTGTGGGAAGAATTTATTAGAAGTTTTTTTGTGATCAGTTCAAATAGTGCACTCAAAAATTCAACAAAAGTTACAGTGCTATGAAATGCTATATAAATATTTTTCTCAGTTGTCGGTGAACACTATTAATAGGATAATACATCCCCTTTAAAGCACATTCTAAAATTACAAGAAAGACTCAAAAGTTAAGGACCATTGCAAGAGGGGGAATTCTGTTTCATTTCACTGCAGCCTTTTATCAAAACACTTGACACCTTCAAAAGCTGGAAGCTCATGGGGATCAGTCCTCACTTTGTAAAGTCTAAAACAGAGCATCCTAAGCTGGAAGAAAAAGTTTGAGGAGCAGGTAAATTTATGTGAATATGTGTTTTATAAATTTGGTTTAGAGAAAAACGAGGCATTAACAGTACAAGTTTGAACAAAGCACAGGGTATAGGTGAAGCAAATCAAACTTTTGCAGCCCTTCTGCTATGTAGGTCAACTGGGATGCTTAAAGAGTCCTGTCTTGAAAAAGGTTTTCCCAAGCATGTTGAATTCTTTAAAATTATATATTTGTTTTTGCAAACTGCAGAAGCATTTGGAGAAACAGGAGAGAACAGCAAACTAGCTTTCATTTGGTTGCATAGACAAAACTTAGAAATTATGTCTCTACAGAAGAAAGATCGGGGCTTCAAGACATCACACCATTTTCCCTAACCTTTCCTGTTTCACAATAATACCTATATTTATTGTTTCATTTATTAATTTTCCTGCTCAAATCAAAGCTGTTGAGAACTAAGTTAGGTTGTTGTTAACTGTACACAGTTTGTCCTTCATTTCATTCTGATTTGATAAGATGTCAGCCTTCCAACATTAGAGATCAAACTATTTATTTATTAGGAAAGTCTGGAGTTCCAAGTAAACTAAAAGCACAGGAAAGACTTGCTTCCATCAAAACAGTACAAAATGTTTCAGGTTTGATGTAACTTTGTTATTTGCACTACACAAAAGGCAATACATTAAAAGCGTGACTCAAATCAGTAATACAATCGAAGTTACTGGAACAGAGAGAAAATGAAACAATATCCTGAAAATTAGTCTCCCGAATTTTGATGCAGTCAACTCAACATATTTTTAAATTGCCAGCTGGTCAGCTGGGAAAGAAGTCCACAGAAAAAAAGGAAGCCTATTCACTTGAGATCTGTAAAACCAGTCTGCAGTAATATGGTAATTAGGTTAGATTCCATGGGGAACACAGTAAGGGAAATGCTCCTAAATACAGACTTTGCGGGACACTGGAAGAGACAACAGTCAGATCTAGACTCCCAAGAAGGATACAAAAACATATGCAGGACAGTTCATGTAGACTAACATGGAATTCCTAACCAAGAATTTGACAGGCTAAAAAGTGTTTTAAAGGTAAGTATGTGCATTTATCTAATGCTTTCTTTCTTTTCCATTTGCTGATCCAAGACTTCACAACATACAGCAGAGATTCAGCTTCTAATGACAGAATTGCAAGGGTCTTCCTACCAAAGGTCATAAATGCAAGATACTGATGCTGGAGAAAGCAAAGAGGGATGAGATAAATGAGCATGTTCTTACCTGTGGCATTTTTAAACATAACTGTTTGCCATCCTCAACATCCAATCCTAAAGAAATCAGCGACTGTTACATCAAAACTACTAGTTTAATGCAAGCTGTAACTCCCTCATACTGAGACCATGCCGTTTCAAGGTATTTCAAAACCTTTGTCAATGGAAATGAAGGCTGAACAATTGATGATGGTAATCTAAGTCACAGACAGAAATAAGAACCATTGACATCTGAGAAGTAGACTGTTTTCTCCCTCCATCCATGTCTAACTGTACTGCTAAGTACTGTTACTCACATGAACTTTGTTTAAGTTATGCTCGAAAGACTCATTCTGTAATACTGCTTTCCTTTCTTGGCAAAGTATTATGACACTGTAAATTGTTTAATCTTTATTTGATGCTGCTAGACAGGGGAACATTCAAACTGGATTTCATCTGTTTTCAAAGCATCTGTAAGGACAAGAAGTATAAATTTGTTTATTTATCTGAAGATAATTTTAGATCCTCATCTTTACTGAAGAGCTAATTTCTTAGTTCTTCTACTTTTTCTGGAGCCAGAAAAAACATCTAAGATGAAGGACCATCCCTGGGGTTGCTTGGCTGTTAAAAGAATAAAGAGAGAAGAAAAAAATCTACTTCAGAGAGCACAGACTCCTAATTGAAATGCATACAGTGATCTTTGTTACTGATCTTTGACAGGCAGTGGTCCACACCACAAAGTACTACATAATTAATATGTTCTGCACCACTGGAAGTGCTGGCCTGCTGGCCTCTGCTTAAGACTTTGCTGAGCCAGTAAGAGCATCTCAACTCAAGCCTAACCTTGAAAAGATAGGTGAAACGGCCTTCTTGGGAAATGGACAAATCTTCAAATCTTTATGCAGCTTTTGCAGCACTGACAAATTTTCATTTGAACAGATTGCTTGCAAGTTGCCTCCCACTCTTTCCTCCTTCTGTTGAAATAACTTAGTTGAACTCTAGACTGCTTCTCAGGATTAACAGGTGTATGAAACAAAAAAAAGTACTTCATCCTACATACATGCTACAGCTTCTGACTTTATCTGTTTTTAGATAGCACAGGGAAAATCTACAAGGCAGTTTATAATGAGTTTAAGAGACCTACATTCAAGTTACATCTGTCAGGCCTGTTTCTGTTAGTTCCTCTATCAGAAAAGTGATCTGACTGAAAAGGGATTTTCTTTGGTGATATTAATTTTCAATGGGGCCCATTTTGACTGATCTTGCAAGCATTATGGCCATTGTGATGGGGCTGGCAAGGACTGCATCTTCCAGTAGCCAGTGAGACTTTAGCTGGCTTAGGTCAGGTAGGTCATTTATGAAAACATTTACTGAAGTACAAAACCCACATAAATGAAACAAAGTAGGAGAATCATAACATACCTCCAGAAAACAGCTGTCTTTCAAGGAAGAAAAGCTGCCATAAAGAACCTGCCATGTTTCATACAGATTTGGGTTCAGTAGGACATAGTAATTGCAACTTTGATTGAAATAATTTTTTTATGAGAAGTAATTTTTGCTGCACTTGCATTTCATTAGAAATCAGTGCTGTCTAGACCAATTCACAACTTACGACCAGCGATGCATCAGAACCTTCCTTTGCACAGTGTTCTTATCTCTCTCCTCATTTTACACTCATGTATCCATCAAATTTTAAAACTAAAACATCACTATGAGTCATTATGCTGCACTCAACCCATTTGTTAGAAATCCCTTATTCAGGCAAAGAAAATAATGTAAACACAGTGGAAGAGTAAGATCATATTCCAAGTGGTGCTTCATCAACAGTACTTGTCTAAGTTGTACAGGCTCTTCTTCTGCTTAAGGGAAAAAACAAGCAAAGATCTGTTTCCATCTTGAAAATCTTATATTGAAGACCATTCTCCAGAGTGCCGTGCCAGCTATGGTTTTTACCTGCTCTATTCAAGCTCTACAACAATACAGGCCAGAAGGACATCCCAATGTCTGAGTGTTACATTAAATATTAATAACCAAAGTATCTTTACTTGCATAAATCTTAGCAATTTTTTTTTAAATTACATTTACTTTGTTGATTAAGAGTCTACTACAGAGAACTTGGATCACGTTCTTTCCCAGGAGTATAGAATCATGGCACAGTTAGGGTTGGAAGGGACCTTTAAAGACATCTAGTCCAACTCTGCAATGAGCAGGGACATCTTCAACTAAATCAGGTTGCTCAGAGCCCAGTCCAACCTTACTGTGAATGTTCCCAGGGATGGGGCATCTACCACCTCTCAGGACAAGTGCTTTATCACCCTCAGCCTAAAAAATGTCTCCCTTATATTTAATCAAAATTTGCCTTCTTTTAGTTTAAAGCCATTACCCCTTGGCCCTGCTAAAAAGTTTGTTCCCATCTTTCTTATAAGCCCCCTTTAGGTACTGAAAGGCTTCTGTAAGATCTCCCTGGTGTCTTCTCTCCTTCAGACTGAACAGCCTCAACTCCCCACCTTTCCTCAGAGAAGAACTGTTCCATCCCTCTGATAATTCTTGGAGCTCTCCTCTGACCCCACTCCAACAGGTCCATGTCTTTCCTGTGCTGAAGAGCCCAGAGCTGGACACAATATTCATGTTACTCCTTCTGACCACTGAACTGCTGTAGGAAGTGATTCTTGAAAGCCTTGTGAAGGTGACAGTGGCCTCCACGTTTCCAGGTAAGCCAAGCCCAAGAAATTCCTACAGAAACACAATGTTTGCAATAGGAATGTGACATTTACACTGTTCTTTTTTAAATGAATCCTTCATAATGAAATCTCTGAAGTATGAAGGTGGGAAAATCTGCTTTTTTCCTTTGGTAGTTAAGAGATTATCACAATGTTATATGCATATAGCATATATTATATGCACATAGCTGGAAAAAAATATGATGGAAAAAGTGCCCTCAACACTTTGCTCGAACTCTCTTAAAGCTGCCAAATAGTGTCTTAACTTATGGCTGCTCAACTGATACCAAGGCTCATTTTCCATCATAATAAATGCATATATCAATCTACTTATAATGTTTTTCCAAAGGGATAACAAAATATTCATCACTAATATAGTAACTGCTGTGCAATTGAACATTAACACACTCACTGTCCAGTATCTACAGCTTTTCCTGATGTCATCCACAGGCATAACTGTTCTACATTAGCAGAAATGAGAGACTGAGTTTTCTGCCTTGCACCTCACCTGACAGCTAAAAACTGCTCCTGCATGTGTAACCCTGTGTTCCTGAAACAAACAGAAACATCACTGACAGCCTGTGCTTTGCTGCAAGCTCAATATTTCTCACCTATTGACCCAGCCAGGATTGTATTTACCCACTGATCTGTTGTTCTGAGAGGAATAAGCACCTTCATTCAAATAGATGAATGTTTGCTTCATACCAATTATTTATCGTTTGACAAT